GCCGGCAGTTACGGAGTCTGGCACCAAGGCCGGTTGGGCAGTGAGAGCACCATACTGGGGAACGCCTGGTTAGGGAAGACACAGAACGGACCCCTCCCTTCCACAGCCCCAGGGGCTACGGTCCAGATGGCCGTGAGAGCAGAGGCCACGCTGCAACCTGCCTCCAGGACAATCTTTCCAAGACAAAGTCTCCCACCAGCATGGCCGGCCCTCTTCTTGCACAGCAGACACACGACACGGAGAGGGCTGCTCAGACCCGGAAGGCACAGAGGCAGGGACGGAGACACGCCCGGCAGGGCACACGCCAGGTCACGTCCGGGCTCTGGGGGACGGAGACACGCCCGGCAGGGCACCCGCCAGGTCACGTCCGGGCTCTGGGGGACGGAGACACGCCCGGCAGGGCACACGCCAGGTCACGTCCAGGCTCTGGGGGACGGAGACATGCCCGGCAGGGCACGCGCCAGGTCACGTCCGGGCTCTGGGGGACGGAGACACGCCCGGCAGGGCACGTGCCAGGTCACGTCCGGGCTCTGGGGGACGGAGACACGCCCGGCAGGGCACGCGCCAGGTCACGTCCGGGCTCTGGGGGACGGAGACACGGCCGCTTGCTGGGGGACCTCGATAAACATGAGCGCAGAGAGAATGAAGCCTCCTGGCAGGTTGTAAAGAAACAGTGCTTATCTGACGCCACAACACACAATCTTTCCATCTCTAGAGAGGTATTAGGTGTATTTTTTGACAGTAACATAATCTAAAATACAAGTTCTTCCAGAGCCACATGGAATGGGAGCAACGAGGCAGTGCATCAGCCTCACTCCACAGACGTGCTCCTGAGCACGCCACAAACCCACAAACAGGCCCGTTTTCGAATGAGGAAGCAACTCTGGCGTATTCTGGTAAGGACACAGTGGTGGCTTCCCTGACAAGAACAGCCCCTGGCAGGGACACCCGCAGGCCCACGGCTGCCCAGAGCAGAGACGGGGTGGAGTGGACCTCGTGTAGCTGGACACCGCTGGAAGGCGGCGCGGCTCTCGGCTCTCCTAGAAGGGCCCAGTCTGAAGGAGCAGGCTGTCTGACAAAGTCCAACTTACTTGTCCAAATCTTCATGGTGTCAAGGTCACTGCAGGAGATCTGTGTGCCTAATTCAAGGTCACAGAGCTTTCCCACGTTACCTCAGAGAGGCTTCCTGCTTCAGGGTTAACTTCTGGGCCTCTGATGTCTTTTGAGGTCATCCTTTAATATGGTTGACATAAGAACATCATTTGCTTCATTTGGGAAAATACAAACATCTACAACAGCGCTTTAAAAAGTTTTCTTGGAAAATGCAATTAAAAGGCAAATGTGGGGTGGGCGCTGCCACGCAGCAGGCTGAGCTGCCCTGGGGAAGCCCGCGCCCAGGTCAGAGCGGTGGCTGGAATCCCGCCTGCCCAGCTTTTGCAACCCGGCTTCCTGCTAACACTCCTGAGAGGCCGCTAGGACGGCTCGTGAGCTTGGGCACCTCCACCACGTGGAGACCCCGACGGAGCACTCGGCTCCTGGCTTCAGCCTGGCTCAGCCCTGGCTGTGGGAGGCCTCCGGGAAGTGAACCAGCAGACGAAGCTCTCTTTCTTCTCTGCCCTCTCCTCTCACTACGTCACTCTGCCTTCCACATAAATGAAAGATATTCAGTGTACACAACGTTTGAAGTCCACGTATACAAGGGGTCTTCACAGAGCTCCTGGAACATATATTATGAAAAAACAAATGACGGATTTGAAGAATTTTTGTAGCAACATTTTTCACTCATTTTCTGTGAGCTGTCTGAAGCACCCTCGAATGGTGCACACCTCTGCCAGCGGATCTCCCGCTGCTGCGGAGAGCAGCTGTCCACGCACGTGGCTCCGTTTCTGAACCTCCGTTCCCCTGCGCTGCCGAACGCCTGTCCCTGCGTCTTGATTGCGGCAGTTTATGATTCTCGAAACCAGGCAGTCAGTCCCCCACCTTCGCTTGTTTTCAGAGCTGTTTTAGCTACTGCGAGGGCTTTGCACCAGTATTTCCGTATACATTTATACACTGGCTCGTCTGTTTCCACAGAAAAGCATGCTGGGACCTTGGCTGGGACTGAGTTGTGCGCAGGGTCCGTGAGGGCAGCACTGACACTCAACACCCTTGGCCTTCTGAGGTGCAGGCGTGAGGTCATCATCTTCAATTTTTCGCAGCTCTGGTTTGTAGTTTTCAGCGTACAGCCTATGACATCTTCTGTGGTGTTTTCCCTAAATACTTCACATTTTTATGCTATTACAACTGGAACTGTTCATTTAATTTCAATTCCTCATTGCTGGCATATAGGAAAATTACTCTTTGAACTTAGGTTTTGCATCTTGAAATGCTGCTGAATCCTTAGTCCTTTCTGTAGGTTCCATCAGATTTCAGGAAGACGATCGCGTCACCTGTAAGACAAGGCACACCCTGCTGTGCGGGCAGCCTGCCTCGTGTGAGGAACCGTGGGTGCATCCTGACTCACCCGCTCCTGCCTCGCTGCCCTGGCTAGCAGCTCCAGGACGTGGGGGCAGCACTGGTGACAAGAAGGAACACGGTGCCTGCTCCTTCCGTGAGAGAAGCTCCGGCTCTGAGCCGTTCCGACGTCAGCGACAGGTCCACGGTTGCCCCGGGCAAGCCAAGGAAGTTCCCTCCTGTCCCTGGTTTATGGGGAGTTTTTACTGGAACTGACGTCGGATTTTGTCAAATGATTTTTCTGCACATAAGACGACTTTTATGAGTTTGTTCCTCTTAAATGTTAGTAAAAGTGAATTACACTGATTGACTTTTGAACAGTGAAATCAACTTTGCGCTCTGAGATAAAGCAGGTCACTGATTCGCGCCTCGTTCTACACAGGGCCGGATCTGAGTTGCTGAGATTCTGTTCGGGATCTCGTGATCTGCTCACGAAGGATGCTGGTCTTCAGTTCTCCCTTCCGCGACACCCTGTGGTTTGGGTGTCAGAGAGGTTCTCACCCTTACAGAGTGCACTGGGACATACTTCTTGTTCCAGGCTTTTAGAGATTAGTTCCCGCAGAACTGACGTCTTTGTTAAATTTCTGACAGAAAGCACCACTACACCTTGGGCTGCCCTTACAGAACGGCCACAGTCTCACTGCTTCCAGAGAGGAGTAACACGAGGCCAGGTGTCCAGGAGAGCAGCTAACACGCCACTTTGCGACACCCACAGCCCGCAGCCCGCAGCCCGCAGCCCACAGCCCACAGCCCACAGCCCACACCCCACATCCGACACCCCACAGCCCACAGCCCACAGCCCACAGCAGGTGCTGGCTTAACCTCGGCTCCGCCTCCGACCCCAGCTCCCTGCAGAAGCACGACCTGGGAGGTGGCCGATGACGACTCCAGTACGTGGGTCCCTGCCACCCTATGGGAGAGCCAGGTGGAGCTCTGGGCTCCTGGCGTCTGCCTGGCAGAAAAAGGCAGAGCTCTCCCTCTTTCCCCGTCTCAAATTCTCTCCTGGCGTCTGCCTGGCAGAAGAAGGAAGACCGCTCTCTCCCTCTTTCCCCTTCTCAAATTCTCTTTCTGCCTTTCAAATAAATAAAACATCAAAAAAAAAAATAAGAATATTCAGAGCACTTTTTTTCTTTAGTGATCTCTGGTTGCGTCTCTGGAAAACGTAAGTATACTTGCTTCATGAAATTGTCAAATTTACCGGCATATGGCGCTATGGCACAGAAGGCTGGGTCTCCACCTGCAGTGCCGGCATCCCATATGGGTGCTTGTTCAAGTCCCAGCTGCTCCACTTCCCATCCAGCTCTCTGCTGAGGCACCTGGGAAGGCTGCAGAAGATGGCCCGAGTGCTTGGGCCCCAGCAACTGCATTAGAGACCAGGAAGAGCTCCTGGCTCCTGGCTTCAGCCTGGCCCAGCACCCAGTGTTGTGGTCATGTGGAGGGAGAACCAGCAGATGGAAGCTCTCTCTCCTTCTCTATTTCTGCCTTTCAAATAAATAAATAAATCTTCTAAAATTTTTTAAAGAAACAAATTTACTGGCATAAAGTTGTCAATGAAAGCCATCATCACCCTCCTGGTATCTGTAGGATCTGTAGCAATGTCAACTCTCTCAGACCTGGCATTGGCCATCTGTATCTTCTCCCTTTTTTTCCTGATATTCATGTTACTGACTTCTCTTAAACAAGCTTCTGACTTCATTTTTCTGTCCTGACTTGTTAAGGCAGAAGCTGAGCTCACTGACTGGACACCACCGGGTTTTCCAGATGTTGACACTCAGCACTGTGAGTCCCCCTCCAGGAACTGCTTTACTTACACTCCACAAACTTTAACATGTTGTCTTTGCTGTCATTCCCTTCAACATACTTACTCATTTCCCTCCTGATTTCTTCTGTTACCATGGGTGATTTAAAGGTGCGCTAAGTCAGAAATACTGGGGGATATCTATCTCAGGTATCTTGCTATGGATTCCAACTTTAATTGCTCTGTGCTCAGAGAACACACCACATATTTCTGGAATTCTTTAAGATTTACAGAAACGTTTTATAACTCAGAAATGGTCTATCTTCATAAATGTTCTGTGTGCAATTAAAATCATGTGCATGCCTGGAATTCCCCACAAAAGTCAATTAAGCCAGGTTGGGTGATGGCAGTTGTTCAAGTTTCCTACATAATTCTTGGTGTTCCGTCCCCTAGTCACTTACTGGTGTGATTCCTGGTGTTCCGTCCCCTCGTTCTGTCACTTACTGGTGTGATTCCTGGTATTCTGTGTCCTCACTCTGTCACTTACTGGTGTGATTCCTGGTGTTCCGTGTCCTCGCTCTGTTACTTACTGGTGTGATTCCTGGTGTTCTGTCCCCTCTGTCACCTACTGGTGTGATTCCTGGTGTTCCGTGTCCTCGCTCTGTTACTTACTGGTGTGATTCCTGGTGTTCCGTCCCCTCACTCTGTCACTTACTGGTGTGATTCCTGGTGTTCCGTGTCCTCGCTCTGTCACTTACTGGTGTGATTTCTGGTGTTCCGTGTCCTCGCTCTGTCACTTACTGGTGTGATTCCTGGTGTTCTGTGTCCTCGCTCTGTCACTTACTGGTGTGATTCCTGGTGTTCCGTGTCCTCGCTCTGTCACTTACTGGTGTGATTCCTGGTGTCCCGTCTCCTCTGTCACTTACAGGTGTGATTCCTGGTGTTCCGTGTCCTCGCTCTGTCACTTACTGGTGTGATTCCTGGTGTTCCGTGTCCTCGCTCTGTCACTTACTGGTGTGATTCCTGGTGTTCCGTCTCCTCTGTCACTTACTGGTGTGATTCCTGGTGTTCCGTGTCCTCGCTCTGTCACTTACAAGTGTGATTCCTGGTGTCCCATCTCCTCTGTCACTTACTGGTGTGATTCCTGGTGTTCCGTGTCCTCGCTCTGTCACTTACTGCTGTGATTCCTGGTGTCCCGTCTCCTCTGTCACTTACTGGTGTGATTCCTGGTGTTCCATGTCCTCGCTCTGTCACTTACTGTTGTGATTCCTGGTGTCCCGTCTCCTCTGTCACTTACTGTTGTGATTCCTGGTGTTCCATGTCCTCGCTCTGTCACTTACTGTTGTGATTCCTGGTGTCCCGTCTCCTCTGTCACTTACTGTTGTGATTCCTGGTGTTCCATGTCCTCGCTCTGTCACTTACTGGTGTGATTCCTGGTGTTCCGTGTCCTCGCTCTGTCACTTACTGGTGTGATTCCTGGTGTTCCGTCCCCTCGCTCTGTCACTTACTGGTGTGATTCCTGGTGTTCCGTGTCCTCGCTCTGTCACTTACTGGTGTGATTCCTGGTGTTCCGTGTCCTCGCTCTGTCACTTACTGGTGTGATTCCTGGTGTTCCGTGTCCTCGCTCTGTCACTTACAGGTGTGATTCCTGGTGTTCCGTGTCCTCGCTCTGTCACTTACTGGTGTGATTCCTGGTGTTCCGTGTCCTCGCTCTGTCACTTACTGGTGTGATTCCTGGTGTTCCGTGTCCTCGCTCTGTCACTTACTGGTGTGATTCCTGGTGTTCCGTGTCCTCGCTCTGTCACTTACTGGTGTGATTCCTGGTGTTCCGTGTCCTCGCTCTGTCACTTACTGGTGTGATTCCTGGTGTTCCGTGTCCTCGCTCTGTCACTTACTGGTGTGATTCCTGGTGTTCCGTGTCCTCACTCTGTCACTTACAGGTGTGATTCCTGGTGTTCTGTCCCCTCTGTCACTTACTGGTGTGATTCCTGGTGTTCTGTGTCCTCGCTCTGTCACTTACTGGTGTGATTCCTGGTGTTCCGTGTCCTCACTCTGTCACTTACAGGTGTGATTCCTGGTGTTCCGTTCCCTCTGTCACTTACAGGTGTGATTCCTGGTGTTCTGTGTCCTCGCTCTGTCACTTACTGGTGTGATTCCTGGTGTTCCGTGTCCTCACTCTGTCACTTACAGGTGTGATTCCTGGTGTTCTGTCCCCTCTGTCACTTACTGGTGTGATTCCTGGTGTTCTGTGTCCTCGCTCTGTCACTTACTGGTGTGATTCCTGGTATTCTGCGTCCTCGCTCTGTCACTGGTGTTGATTCCTAATGTTCTGTGTCCTCACTCTGTCACTTATTGGAAAGAGGACCTGACATCTCCAACTGGAATTCTGTATCCATCTGTTTCTTACTGCAGTCATCACAGATTTTGCTCTGTGTATTTTAGACCTCGAGGAGCTGGCACCAGCGCTGTGGCACAGTGAGATAATCCTCCACCTGCAGCACAAGCATCGCATATGGGTGCCTGTTGGAGTCCCGGCTGCTCCTCTTCTGATCCAGCTCTCTGCCATGGCCTGGGAAAGCAGAAGATGGCCCAAGTCCTTGGGCTCCTACACCCGCATGGGTGACCCTGAAGAAGCTCCTGGCTCCTGAATTCGGACAGGCGCATCTCCAGCTGTTGCAGCCATTTGGAGAGTGAACCAGTGGATGGGAGACATCTCTGTCTCTCTCCCTCTCTCTCTCTTACTATCTGTAACTCTATCTCTCAAATAAATAAATAAAAGTCTTTAAAAAAATAAATAAAACTTAATTATCGAGTTATGTCGAATTGATTAGCTGACCTGTTTATCTTGTGAAATGGCCCTCTTTACATCAACAACTTTGAGAAAAATTTACAGAATGAAATCTGAAACATACATTTAAAAACTAAAATGGGCTCTGGGATTCCGCATTAAAAAAGGAAGTAGTCACCGCAGACCTGTCGTTTCACTTTCTGCAGTTTCACTTTCTGTAGTTTCACTTTCTATAGTGGTCAACCATGTTCCGGACATTCAAGGAAGATTCCAGAAAGAAGCAGTTCCCGAGAAGTGAGGTGCAGCCTGTGGCGTTCGGAACCAGCCCTCGTCCAGCACGCCCCGCTGCACACCCCCCATCCAGCTCACGCCGGAGGCAGAGGGGACGACCACTCTCACACACTGTTACACGGTTGGTACAGCCGCCCTGTTCATTCTCAGTGTGCTGCTCACCCCTTCCTCCATGAACTTCGCCACAGGCGCTCAACGCCTACCCACAGGGAGACGCACGCAACACACAGTCAACGCCTACCCACGGGGAGACGCACGCAACACACAGTCAACGCCTACCCACGGGGAGACGCATGTGACACACAGTTGACGCCCACCCACGGGGAGACGCACACGACACACAGAGATCAGGGAGCTCTGTAAGCTTCAGGCTCCCACAGGGCACCCTGGCGCCGACCCCAGGAGGAGAAAGCCCAGGGGGCCTGGCCTGAATAACGTCACTGCAACTCAGCGCACACTCCACGTTCCTGGCACGGCTCTATCTGGCAGCTACTGAACACCATTCAACGCTCCACAGTAGCTCCGGTTCTCAGGAGGGCGGTCAGGCCCTAACCAGCCCCGTCCTCCCACAGTGTGTGCCGAACACAGCTGAACAACAGCTCCTGGGGCAGGCTGTGAGCCGTGTCAATTACGGGCTTACCAGTTTCCTGCCATGGCCACAGGTGACGCAGGCTCCCCAACACCACACTGCTGGATGCACATCGGGAAGAAAGGGGTACCACTGAGTCTGAAAAGCCGACTGGCCTGCTCGCACACTGCCACCTGCGCCTCCAGCCACTGCCCACACCCCTGCCGAGCTGCCTCTCCCTACACCGCCTTCCACTGCCCACACCCACTTCTCCACCCCCAGCTGCCCACCAGTTACAGGTCCCATAAGCTGTGCTGCTGTCTCGGCCTCTGCTCTTCCACCCCCAGAGCTCACCCTGCCCAGCACACATCTGTGTGAGTCCCCATGGCCTTCTCGGGACAGCTCCTCACCTCCGTCCTCCACAGCTGACTGCACGCCTGTCTCCGCTCCAACTGCCCCCTAAGGAAAGACCTTGGCCAATCCTTACTAACACTCGGGACCTGGCCCCTGGTGGGCAATTCCACACATGCTTGCCGAATGTGTGAGTCACCCATGTCCCAGTCACAGGCTGCTCAGTTTGAGAGAAGGGTGGGGGTACCACGACACACAGGGACCCCAGGGAGGGGAGAGGGAAGGGGGGGAAGCTGCCGATGAGAGAAGCTGGTGATGGCCACGGTGAAGGCTCACCGTGCAGACTTGGAGCCGTGCCTCGGGCGAGCAGCAGACTCCAGGCAGCCACAGGCTGCAGGGCCCACCAGAGCCTGGCACTGACGCCAACATCGGTCAGACAGGGCGGGGCGAGGTCAGGGAGGGCAAGGAGGACAGATGCTCAAGTATGTGATGTACTTTCTTCCCCCAGACAGAAAACAAGTGGCCGATGGGGCCGCGTGAGGCCTGGGTGTTTGCACTCACCCTGCTCCACCACCCCTCACCTCACTGGCTCTCATCTCACTGCACAGCCCGTCACCAGGAGCCGTGGGGAGCACTGATAACACCCCGCAAGTAGGAGACACTGCAGGGGGCGCCCCTGAGCCCGACACTCCTGATGTCTCACACTGTGCCCAGCAGCAGGTGCCAAGGGGCCATTCCTAAGATGGCCAGTGAGGGTGACCCACCCACATGGACGTGTGTTGTAGACCCAAGGGAGGGGAACAGTGGGGCAGACCAACAGGCTGGGTCGCAGAGGAGGGGGTGCAGGGCCGAAAGGGAGAAGGGAGGCCGAGGTCTCTGCTTTCTACGGGAACCACACACAGGCCTGGGCTCCTGCACAGACCGAGAGTCTGAAGGAGACCAGGCAGAGGCCTGGACCAAGACTCGACACGTGTGGGGTCATCCATTTGCTCAGCAAACCTGACGCCACTGACCCCCACACACAGCAGGGTGTGCCAGACCACTCGACACCAGCAGACCCGAGGACGTCCCCCGCCCCCACCGGGAACCTCCTCCATTGGCAGCAAGAACACAGCTGTCAGCACCCACGCTGCGCAGTGATGCCGAGAGTGCGGGAGTCCACCTGTTCTGGAAATACCTGGCAAGATGGCTTTCAGCATGTGCCTGGGAGTGACAGGTGGGTGGACACAGGCCCTGCGGCCCCCACACTGCCCCCGCCTGCCCCACGCCACAGCCCCCTGGACACGGAACCCTGCCTCACACACCGGGCTCGGTATTTACAGAGCTGCGCTGGACAGTGAACCCTAAGAGAGCGTGAGAAGCTACACAACAAGCGGGCCATGCTTGGCTTCCATGCTTACTTTCTAACAAACAGAGTGGGCGCTTACAAGATGAGCGTGTGTGTTTGTTTTTAAATCAAAGTACGTGATTTCCGGGGCAGCCACAGCTGAAGACCCGAGGAGGCGCCGACTGCCTCCTGACAGACAGGAAACCCTTCGGTGCCCCCAGCGCTGGAAAGCTGAGCCAGGGGACATGGCTCCTGTGCACAGCTGGCTGTGCCCTCCTCTGTCACATGGAGCCCAGGTCCCCTGCCCCACCCCCTTCCACCTTGCAAGTCGAGCTGCTCCCAGAAAACAGAGTGGACAGGTGGGGGAGCCGCGGGCTCGGTCCCCACCCCAGATCCCAGGAGGCGCTGGCCAGACTGAGAGCCCCGGTCCCGCCAGAACTGCACAGGCGGCACTGACGAGGGAGGTGTGGTGGCTGCCTTCCACCCCGCACAGGTCGCACATCCCCGAGTCGCTCAGCGGAGGGGCGGCACCACGCACCTGAGCCCAAGCACAGCGCCCGGGCCTCGCTCACGGCCCTCCTCACCTCTTTCTTCCTCTCTCCTACTCTTCCGTGTGCTCGTGCAACGTTCACATAAAGTGCAACTCCCACTCGAGTTACTACGCCCTTTGCAGAGGAAAACTCGCTCGTGGCTCCTCGGGTGCCTCTACTTCAACGTACAGCCACTCTGCCACCCCCAAGGACACCCGAAGCGTAGCGGGCCAGGGAGGCTGCCCCCAAGGACTGGGGAGAAGGAAGATGGACGTCAGGAGAAGCCCAGGCAGCCCAGCTGGCCTTGCTGGGCACAGGCCTGGGCGACAAGACATGCGGGGCAGCCTAAGGCTGAGACCCCAGCGCACGTGAAAAGAGGCTGCACGTCTCCTCCCTGGCTGAGCCCAGCCCAGCACAGCCTGCAGCCAGAGCCACCAGTCTCTGCAGCGGGCAGCCCTGGCCACTGAGCTGCTGGGATCAGACAGTGGCAGAGCAGCCCCCAGCACTCCTTGAGCCTGAACAATCGTCTGGGTGTGGTCGCAAGATAAGACTGCTCCGCTGCTCTGCAGCCTCCATCACCCAGAGAGGACGGGACAACAGCTGGGACAAGACCAGCGGGACAACAGCTGGGACAAGACCACCGAGCAGGGGATTACAGGCTCCAGCTGAACTGCAGGTTTTCCCAGGATAAGGGAGGCATCCAGGGTAGAACGGGAGGGGCTCCAGCAGCCTCACACCTCGGTAACCCATTCGTCTGAACAGGCAGCTGAAAGCACGCACGACAGTGTGCAGGTGAAGAGAGGGCTCCCCTCCCCCCCAGCTTCCAGCAGAAGGAACTTTCGAGAGCCCCCTCACATGGCCCCGCCAAGCTCCCAGCACAGGGGCTGGGAACGTCCAGGCTCTCAAAGATGCCAGCTCACTGCTGACCCTCGCCACCCAGCCTCACATCCAGCGGTGGATCTGGCTTGCTAGGCAGGCATCCACAGACGGAACTGCAGTGGGAGCTCCGTGCCGCCGGAGCCACATGCACCGGTCACAAGAGGAGCATTCCTTCTGCTTTGTGCCA